CTAAAAACCTACAAAGTTCCTGAATCCCTGAAGATTTAAGATCCTTGAAGATCAACAATTAGCTCTGATGTTCACAACATTTCTAATAATCTACAAACTTCTCGAAAGTTCTGTAATTTTCTCTGCAGATTTTCATGATTCAAAAATATCTGCAAATATCTCTGAACATCTATACAATTTTCCAAAGAATTAAAAGATTATCTAGAAATTTTTGAACTTTCCGGAAGTTTTAGGAAGTATTCTGAAGTTTTTCTAATTTTTCTGAAGCTGTGCAAATATCTCTAAAGATCAGCGAACTTACCTGATGTTCTGTGAATGTCTTTCAAAATCCAAGAACCGCAGTAAAATTCTGAAAATTTATTTAAACATCTGCTAATTTTTGAGTAGATTTACGACCTACCCGCTGAACTTTTCTTAAGTTCCTAAAATTTATTTCAAATTCTGTAAAGTTTTCTGAAGTACTGTATTTCTGCTCTTAAGATCTACGAATTGCCCTGAAGTTCAATAAATTTCACAGTAGATCTCCGAACTGTTCTAAAGTTATTTAAATTTCTTTGTGGATTCTTGATCTAAAGATCGGCGAACTTTCCCGAAAATCTGCGAGTTTTGCTGAAGTTTTGCAAATTTTTCTAAAAACGTACGAATTTTCTGACGTTCTACATACTTCTCTTAAGGTCTACGGACTTCTCTGAAGTTCTTTAGATTTATCTATTTCCGACTTCCATGGAGTTCTGCAAAATATTGTACTTTTGTACTTCGCTGCGATTTGTTTTTGGAATTGAGGTGCTTTTCTGACATTTAACGAATTTTTCTGAAGATCTCACATTTGTGTGAAACTGTGAAACTTTCCGTCAAATTCCTGCAAATATCTTTAAAGTTCTGTAAAGTTGTCTTAAGCTCCGTAGCTCTATTCCCAAGATCTACAAAAAAAAAACTTGAGGCTCCATAAATTTCTCAGTAGATCTGCAAACTTCTCTGATGTTTTGTAAATTCCTCTAGGGTTACTCTGAAGATTTGAAAATTTCCTTGAATATTACCTAAAGTTGTCAAAATTTATCAGAAAATATTTGAGCTTCCTTGAAGTTCTAAATGTCTCTCTCAAGATCTACAAATTTTCCTGAAATCGTGTAAATATTTATTTTTTTAAATCCCTGAAGTTCTGCAATTTTTACTGAAGATCCATTAACATTTCTGAGATTCTTGTGATTTTTTCAGAAGTCCTGTGATTTTTTTTCAAAGTTCTGTAGCTTCGTTCTGAAGATCTACGAACTTTTGTGATGTTGAATAATGTTTCGAGGATCTCCAAACTTCTGTGAAATACATTATATTTCACTGTAGATTCTTGGACTTGTCTGAAGTTATGCGAATTTCCCTGAAGATTTGTAAAATTTCGCTTATAGTTTTACAAATTGATTTGAAATTATTTTTGCTTGCTTGAAGTTTTGAAAATTTCTTTGAACATTTTTCTGAAGATCTACGACCTCTCTTGTGATTTTGTTTTTATGAATTTCTGTTAATAACTTTTAATTTGTTTGTAGTTCTGTTCTCAAGATCTACGAACTACCCTGAAGCTCAACAAATTTCTCAGTAGATCTCCGACCCTCTCTGAAGCTCAAAAACAAATTCTATGTTGGGTCTCAGACCTGCTGTCTGGCATGCTTATTCTTATACAATACATGCTTCGTATGTTTCCTTTTGACGGTTGCCAGTCTCTCTTTTTCGGCTGTTTCCTTTTTACGACGATTTTGATCCTCCACATACAAATCAGCGAAGAGCGAGCGTGACAAGACTCTCTGAATGAACTTGTCTCGTTCGCACACGTTGTCTTAGCTGTCAGATGCTAGTGTCCTTAAGAAACGTTTCGAGAAACTGAACGAAAAATTTCTTTTGAATTACGAATGAAGTGATAATTGGAAAATTCCCTGAGTGGAACCAAAATTCCCTGAATATTCCAGGTTTTTCCAGAAAAAATAAAATTCCCTGTAAATTTGCTGCGTGATAGTGCTTAGTTCGAGTGCGCGTTTCGCTTCAATGTCAGCTTTTTCATTTCCAGGGATTCCAATGTGAATCGGTATCTAGCAGAAAGTGATGGAAGTTCCATTATCTGATGCTTCGTTATAGAGTTTGACAATTTCATCTTTGGTGCTGGATTTTATCTTCTTCCTTTCCAAATTGGAGATCTTATGTTCCACGAAACGATGCTGTTTTCTTTGTGTGTTTGCATGTTTGTGAGTAAGTTCCGGGTTCGGATCCAGGGTTGCATTTCATCATCATTTTGTTGCCATGATTCGTCTTAACCAGAGTTCACGTATTCCAAATTTTCGCATGGCTCCTTAGGTTTGCTTCCTTTCTTTTTCCTTGGAGGCGATGGTGCAGGATTTTCATAGCTTCTGGGGTGCTTTGTAGCCGTAGAGTTTCAGGGTTTGTTCGAGCTTGGTGTTACTCTCTTTGAGTTTCTCCAGCTCTTTCTCTGCTTTTCTTCTTGATGGGCGTGTAGTGTCTGTTCAAATTTTTTGCTCGCTGTTTCGAACTTTTCTTCCATTGATTTTATTTTATCTTCGTTTGTGCGGATAACGATTTCCATATCTTCTTTGTATTTTTTTTTCTACTTAGAATTGCTTATTCATACTCAATTTGAGCGTCTCGGCGTACGTTTTCTTCTATTCGTAAGTTGCTTCATCTTTTCCTCTATTTCTTGGTTATTTTTCGTTTTTATAACATCTGCAAACGAGGTTCTGTTCTCGTTTTCCACTATTTTCTTTGACTCCCAAAAGGGTATGTTCCTATCCACTTTCACTTTGATGATTACCATTTCCTTTTTTAGCACCGGGCACCCTTTGAAGAATGCGCCATGTGCGCCTTCACAATTCACACATTTTTCCTGGTTGTCACATGAGTTATGGGGTCTCCACACTTACTACACTTTTCCCGCTATTGCTGTTCTTTCAATGTGACCAAAAAAACACAAAACATCTCAACGGGGATGGATACCACGGCCTTGTTTCGAGTATCGCATAACCCAGTTTGACTTCTTTGGGGGGAGTTGTGCCTTTCACAATGAGAACGAAAATTCACGTACAGATTTTGCGTTCGTCACGCATTGTCACTATTTGCTTAACTTCAACAACTCCTTGTCCTAACAAACTTTCCAATAGGTCAGCATCACAATCATTCTTCTTATCGAGGCAAGCGGGGGAAACTGATATTACTCATCTGGGTGAATGTTGATCAAGTGTGTTTATTACGTACTTGAGATGGAATGATCCATAGGCAGTCTTGTAAGCGGCCACCATAGTCGACACATTTTCTGAGATAGGTAATCGACTGCCTTTGCTTCCGACACTTGCAACACAAGCTATCAAATAACAGCACCAAACTAAAATGACATATGCATTTTAGTTTTTCTCATTATAAGAGCTGCTGATGTTGTGCTTGTGTGTTTAATTTACACCAAATTGAGGAATTAGAACGAAATCACACATGTCATATGACAGTTATTTCATCATTTTCTTTTTGCTCAAATACTGTGTAAGAGAGACGACGGTAGAGCATGAGAGTACGAATATATACAGACAGTCGCGCAAGACAACGGAGCGAGTGTAGTAAAACACGTCAACCGTTTCAACCCCTGTCCATAGGTGCTATTTGAGTTTTTTGCCCACTGTGCGTTGCCTGTTTAGACTTGCATGATGTTTTGTAACATCGATAAACATTACTCGAAAAGCGTTAGTTGCTTATGGAAAATTGTCTACTTGAATGTTAAAATAAATTATTCTTTATAAGAACCAAAAAGAATATTCCGAATAATTCAGAAAACTTTCACATACATGCAAAACTATGTTTAATTAATTTACTATAATATGAAATACCTTAACATTTCAAATGGCTGCTATCAATAATAATAATAATCAACGAAAACTAACTACTGAAAATTGTTAAAATGTCAAAATAATTCCGCATGAGCTAGATGTTGTTAGTTTTAAGTCTTTTATGAACACAACTCAAAGGTGATTCTGTAGACGACGGCAACCCCTGCAACTTACTTACACATTAGCAACCGCAGCCATCAGTTCTGAAGAGAGTGGCAACTAAGCTAGGTGGATACATTTCAGTAAACTCAAAAACAGTTTTTAGCTATTAAAAAACACTCTCCGGTAGCCAACGACTGGCTTGTAAGATAGTAATGACTCGTTTTAGCAGATTTAATTACCATTCACCTGAAAGTAGCCGTTCGATGAAGTACTAGAGTTCCGTTGATTTGAACGACAATCCATTAATCACACACACACACACGGAAGCTAAATCCTTAGCACTCGAAATCAGTTTAGTATAGCAAACAAAGCGTGTTGTGTGTTTGAACAGTGAAGAATATTTGGAAAATCATACAACTTTCGGTGTTCAGTGATGAAGCCCACGTAGGTGTTCTATTATTATTTTTCGATAGATAAGATAAGATAAGATAAGATATACAATCAAACTGATATGCCACCATCTTTGCAGATTTGACAGATAGTCTGCCAAGTCTGCTTAGATGGTGGCCATTGGAGATTATAGAGATTGCTGACGTTTATCGTACGCACACTACGTCACGTATACGTATACGCAAAATGTTTTCATCGGGCTTAATTGCGGAAAATTTTCCCGATGAAAACAAATCACTGACACAATCATACTTTAGCAATCTCTATGATCTCGGCAGAAGTTTGATCGGATGGAAAGGGTCTAATACTATTGTCCTTCGCACGTTGGCTTCATCAATAACGAAAAATGTAAAAAATTTCCATAAATTCCCACCAAAAACGTGAGTGCGAAACCACAAATCGAAAAGCAACACACGGCCGTGGTACTCTGAACGTGTTCATCTGTATGATGGTGTGCGTAGAGGTGGATGGCGGATGGATGGATATCGTGGCACAGTCAGTGTGAGTGGGATGAAGGAAGTTATGCGAGATGGCTTTTTCGGCGTTCGAGTAAAAGAAATCAAAAAAACGATCACTTACCTCTTCGCTGGCCGATTTGTCGTGTCGTGGGGGCGTTGCCGGGGACGCTTGACTCAGTAGATCCGGCAGGACACTGCTCGTGCGCTGACCTGGCGTTCCTAAACTGCTGTTTTCACCGCCGCGGTTCTGCTGGGAACGAATCGAGTTCGATGAAAAGAAAAGAAGAATTTTAGAACAATTCAATTCGCCGGAACATTCGATGGAAATTGTATAACGAAACAGAAACAATTTTTGACTACGAATTGGTTTTGAGGTTAGGTCTGATGACATAAGAAGATCAAAAGGAACAGAAAACAAAAATACTTCGATTCAAACCACGAATCTCTAAAACGGGGGAAGAATTGGTGAATTATTACTCTCGATTTTTTTTTTCCGTACTAAGTTGGATTAGTTGCAAATAAGCGGTGTGGTGGTAGGGGGAGGGTCGTGAAATTTCGATTAGTTTTAAAAGAAAAAAAAACTTAAGCGTAATGGTGTGAAAGGGGTAGGTAATTCCCGAATTTAGTAAAAGAAGGAAATGTGGTTTTAGTAGAACGAAAAGAACAGAATTAGAAAAATCGAACAATTGGTAATTTGTTTCCAGCACAAACACAGCGCGCGCTCGCACAATCCAGGAGGTTATTGGCGATGTTTTTTTATTTGTTTATTGGTTTGTCAATCAAAGCGAAAAGAGTTGTGGTAGAGGTAGGCAAATCCAAACAAACAAACTTGGAAGCGAAGAAAAAGTCCTGTTAAAAAGCGTAACAAATCTGTTTTTCTTATTTTCGTTTGGCGATAGTTTGAGTTTCTTTCATCCGTTTTTTTTTTTATTTCATGGCAGATCTGTTGTCAACTTTTGTCATACAAATGGTAAAAGGTTTGCATCGATATTGAATAGTGATTTAAATGAAATTGGTAAATCCATCAACTGAAATTCAGTGTTTATTTCGTAGGGCCAGTGTTGGAGGTGTAGTTTATCAAAGTGGAGAAAGCACGGCGACCGATGAGTTGTTCACTTTTTGACACTACTTTTTCCCTGGTTAAAGTGTACATTTTACCTCAAGTTGTTGCTATTTGCTGTTGTTAGTGGTGCCACACATACACATAGATTTGGTTAGTAATTGTTTTTCGAGCATCATTCCAATTAATCACAATCAATAGATACAAATACACTATGTACAGATATGGGGTTTATATACACATTTTATCGTACTGATGAAAGACGAATGGGATTTCTTTCAAGTAGAAAGTTTTTATTAGAATTCTATTTATTGAATATTTCAACTATTGCAGTACTAGATCATCGCAGAAAAAGAAGTATTTATCATGTCATTTATTGTAGGGGACGACGGGGAAAACGGCCACCCTTAGATTTAAGTAAAATTTAACCAACGCTGTATAAAATTTCCGCGACAAATTTAGTGAATATTAATCTTTAGAGTACTTTCCCTAATACATAATATTGAGCTTTATAAAATTTCATTTTAGAAAATGATGTTTTATCACGAAAAAAAAAATCTAAATAATAAAAGAAAAAAATCATGCAGGGTAAGGTAGGCAACCCCTAGGGGAAAGACGGCCACGTGGAATATCACATGATCCTGGCTATATAAAAGGTTACTGTCACAGACAAAATTTCACAGTAGATCAAGGCGGATTGGTTAGGAAACAGTAGTACAGAATTGTTTCACTATGCGGCGCTAATGTGCAAATCAATATACCGTATAAAATGTATCTTGAGATCTTTACTATTTTTTTTCCTTGATTTTGTTTTCCGTCGATCTTGTTTTCCGTGCTGAGCACCAATGCTACCGACGCCAGGGAGGCAGCTCCCACACCTGGACCCTACCTATCGACCCATCAACTCATGAACCGGGGACCAACGGCTTTGCTTCCCTTCCGAAGGCAGGCGTGATCAGAGATATTATGCCTCAAAACATCCCGGCGGCGCCGACTGGGATTGAACCCAGGCCTGCTGGGGTGAGAGGCAATCACGCTTACCACTACACCACCGGCGCCACTATCATTACTATTTGGAAAGTGTCCGTCTTCGAGAAAGTTGTTGAAATGACCAATGTCTTCTAATTTGTGGCTTGGTTAGTTCAGAATTATCTCATTACGCGACACTACTCTGCGTGTGAACTTCACGTAGATGTCCTGGTTTCGTAGATGGTGAGGATTTCAAGATATAGCTTATAAATACCGTAAGTTCACATGTACACTAGCGTCCCATAGTGAGAGAGTTCCAAATTTACCTGTTCACCATCACCATTTGGAATGCCTTTTATCATCTTACTTATAATGTTTCAGAAGCTTCTTAGAAATGTTTTCGAAAAAAGCCTGATATATTTCAAAAACGAAATATTGTTATTTACTGCATTCAGTTTCAACCTTGAGGCTTCACACAACCCAACCAAAGGTGGCCGTCTTACCCCGATACAAGTCAAACTATAACAGCTTTTGTAATGCCACCTAATTTAAAGAATTTTTTATCCGCTGTAAGTGCATCGAACCGACTTATGTTTTCCTAATAGTAACGCTACTTTTACACGTTAAATTATATAATAGCTCCCCTACAATATGAGTATCAAAATTCATGACTTTACAGCAGGAGACTGTTTATCATAATTTTGTGATCATCCGATGGAATGATGAATTCTGATACCCATATTGTAGGGGTTTCTTCCCAAACACTTCTATGGCCACAAGAAGCCCAACGGGAGCCTGCTCCGGAATGGTCGTTTCGGGGACAATCCGTCAAATGACCACACAATTATGATAAACGGTCTTCTGCTGTAAATTCATGAATTTTGATATCCATATTGTAGGGGTTTATTCCTAAACCTCTGGAACATTATACAGGAAATCCGGATTACCGGGAACCAGACGATTCCGGATGAACATTGTTGGCAATGTCTAGAAAGAGGATAAGTTTCTGAATCCGATGAAGCCAAAATATTCAAAATCAGTCAAAATTGACCGCAGTTGCAAGCATTTCAATTTTGTGGGAACCCGGGTACCCTTGTCGAGCTCCTAAAGGGTAAACAATGTCAGGACCCCCCCCCCCCCTTTCAAAGTCCCTTGCTGCAATATGAAATCTTTTTTCATGAAAAGTTGTCTCTCCATGAGTTCTAAGATGTCACTGAATTCTGGTTTCCAGTCGTGAAAATAATTGTATAATTTCTTAACTTGAAATCTGAAAAGGTACCCGGGTACCCTGTCGATCACATAACGGTTAAATATATTTTCGTTCTGTTTACTCCGGGTTTGAACAACAAATGCTGATTTAAAAGTGCAGTAAACAATACAAATAACTCGATAAAGCTCCAGTACTAAATCTCCAGAAGCCACATTAACAGCTGCAGTTTAGCATTTCTCGATACCTTTCCCCGTCTGAATAAACGGATTCCGGCGACAAAGGTTCGTGAGTCAACTCAAAAATTTAATCGCCAATCTACCGAGGTGGGTGGTCGAACCTAAGTTGAAGGTAGTTCGTGATTTGCCATTTTCGAGCAGTTGGTTTAATTACATTACTAATTTCAAACAGAATCTCATTTTTTGACAATCGATATTAAACTGCACCTGGAGGCCAGAAGGGATTATTGGATACTGCAGCAGGATGAAATAGAACTTTTGGATCTGGAGAATTGGAGTCAGGCGGCAGAAGATAAGGGTCCACCTTTGCCAGATACCAATCAATGGTTACCTCAGCCAGAGGTAGAAGACGAGCAGCAGACCCAGTGCCTCTTTTGAGCAGCAGAAGAATTCAATTTCATCGCCAAACATAATGGTAAGACTCTCAACTCAATTCGTGATTCCGTGGATTTGCAGATAAATCCAATTCCCTTTCCACTTTAGGAGTACGAATTCCCTGTCGGTGAGAGGACAGTACCAAGATGTTCTACAACCCGGAAAGTTGATAAAACCTTGAAAAAACTATGCGTTGTCGTTGTGTTGTTATGATTTCAAATAAAAGTCGATGTTGTTTACTTTCCTAACATTGTACTTTATATACTATGACAATTCAAATTTCTCATTTTTAAAACGTTAAATTTTACTACAACTGAGCAAAATTTACTCAGTTCGTTTTTTTTTTTTTTTTCGTTAACCAGAACTGAGTAGAAGATGCTTTGAATTTGACAGATGCATTCATTACTCAAAAGTGAGTAACAATGGGTTGACTCACTTTAGAGTAGTTCCACTTTTACCGAAAGTGAGTTAATTTTTTAAGTTTAACGCACGCACGGACGTGTCCGCAGTGTAAAGTTGTTTATTATTTTCCTCTGATACTAATTTTGCCTAACCTAAAAATGTATGGCCAAAATGAGTTTGACAGCGGTTTGTCATAAATTTTCCTCTGATTATGAGTAGTATTCTCCAGCTGCATATGTATTGTATAAAAATTGCATATCAAGAACAACATGTGAAAAGGACATACAACCTTCTTATGCCCTTCTCTCGCGACCCATATGACACCAACGCAAACCATTAACATTAGCGGGTAGAGGAAGCTTTCTCCTTCCCGATGATGTTGTTGGTTTGCGTGGGCGACCCTCGGTTGGCGAAAAAGGGCCTACAAAGGTTTGTTTACAAAAAGCTTGTATGCCCTTTTCACATGTGGCTCTTGATATGTATTGCTGTAAGAACTGTCAAAATCCTATGAATTTACAGGCTGCATTAGTGTTCGTGAGATTCTGCTTGGAGATACCACACTCTCACGCAGAGTGCCAATACAAACAAACGTGATAATCTCTATTATACCATTCACAGACATAGAAAGTAGTACCATAGACTAACACTAAGACCAGGGGGCCCCGTATAAACAATACTCAATCTTTTGGCTCACGAAGTTCCAGCGCTTCGGTCTCAAGCTAATTGAAGCACCACTCTTTTTCTGTGCAGGAAGGCAGCTTCCACACCTGCGTAGAATATCGCACCCATTCAACAACATACATGGGCCGGGACCAACGGCTTTACTTCCCTTCCGAAGGAAGACGTGACCAGAGATTTTTATGCCTCAGAAAAATCCCACCGACCTCGACTGGGATTGAACCCAGACCCATTGGGGTGAGAAAGCAGTCACGCTTACCACTACACCACCGGCGTCGGCTGTTGAAGCACCACTCGAAACGTAGGAAAATCCAGAA